TGTAAATGGACCTCGGTTGAAGTACGTATTACATAAATGGTTTCTTTGAATGCACGCAGAAGCTGCTTCTAAGCACTAGCTCCACAATTTCATGCACTGACAACACCAGTTAAGCAAACCATTTGCTGGATCTTGCAGAAAAAAGTCTCATCTCTAGTTTTGAAGGAGCTTTCAAGGGTGTGAAAGGGAACATGCTCAATGATTACACCCTTTCCCTGGCATCAACCATTGTCATGCCCGAACCCCGTCTGGGCTGGCTGACCGCGTTCGTCACGTCGGCCATGACGCACTGTGTGAGGTCGAAGTTGCGGTTGCGCTTGGACTCAGCGGCCGCTCACATGCGGAAGGGGGGGCTGGAGCATGCCCGGAAGCACCATCCGATCACCCCTCAGTTGATGTCAGTCCTGCATGTGGTACCAGAACTGGCCATCCTGAACCGGCCATCCTTGCAATCTACCTACGCCCTGCTGTCTGTCTTCGCACCTGCACCTGCTCCATGTTCCGCGCTCCTCGCTCGCTCTTCCAGGTGCCCAAGACACCGTGCGGAGCGCATCCACCTTGGCGATGGTCTCCACGGTGGGTGCGGCGCCGGCAGGGACGAAGGCTTGCCAGTTGGGTGGCAGGGGGTTGGCGTCGGTCACGTGCAGCAGGGCGATCCAGTCCTCCCGGGGGCGGACGCAGCGAGGTGGTTGGGTTTTCGAGGCTCCTCAGAGGAAGCTCTTGTATGTGGTGGTTGATCAAAATTCCTTCTTGCTGAAAGGCTCTAAAGGCTCTCAGTGACGGTCTTATATCGACCTTTCGATCGACTACCATGTGCAAAGGGCGACTCGATCGTCTTTGCTTCGTGTCCAGTCTTTGTGTCAAACCCAAACGGTTGCGGTTCCACTACTGGGACGTCCTGCGACCCCAAACGGCCACCAAACGACTGGGACGGGAAGACGGGACTCATGCGACGGGAAGGAAGGGTTTTTTGGAAGAAGACCAGGATGCACAGGATGCACAGGATCCACCCTTGAGGTCTCAAGTTAAGGGTAGCCATGCCGTCCTTGTTGAAGTCGCAGTCCTCCTTGACAGCTGCACCAACCTAGGCTGCGTCAGCTGAAGTGAGGAAACAACGTTTGGACTCCGAAGCAGATGGCATAAACACAGATGGGATGACAGCGTTCTTTTGTATCCTGGAAAACGCCGGCTGGTGTCTTTTTGCACTCAACTTGTGACTCTCGACGATGCAAAAAAGAAAAGACACCTGCAACCGTCTCGCTCCTGGGCCGTCTCGCTTCCGACCATGTCCGGTTCAAGAGTAACGAGAAGCGACGAACGGAACAGTTGGGCATCGCGACTCAAACGGAGCGATCGGACGCTACGAACGTAGCTCCTGGCCTTACTACTAGGAAAAAGAAGCTACTAGGAGCAAGGGCATCACTACTAGTAACAAAGGGCATTACTACTAGTAGCATTCTTGCTACTAGGAGCAAGGAGCTACTAGTAACAAAGGCTTTGTTGGCTGAGGGTTCTGTCGACCTCCGGAATCAAGGGTGCCAGGGTGCCTCTGCCAGGAACTGGGGAACTGGCAGAGGCACCAGACCTGCTGCTTCAGGTGCTCCAATGGCTTGGAAGAAGTGTGTTGCATGTCTTTTCATGTTCTCGGTAAAAATCATGTTGATCTTGTTGCAAACGGTAAACATGATTAGAGTAAACATGATTACGGTTAAAAAAAATCATGCTTGGTTTGTTGCAAACGGCAAAAAATATGTTTAGAGTTGAAATCAAGATGCGGTTGCCATCTCACCAAAGTTCGCCATCAGGGCCGTCCAGTCTCCCGCGCACAGGGCACCAGAGTTGACGGCGGCACCACAGGCGTTAGCGGCGAAAGAGAGGTAAGAGGCAATCCAGGTGATGGAGGTGATGAACCCTGCCACACCTAAGCATGTTGGATGTTGGGAATGCAAACAAGGCAGCTAAGAGCAGAAAACCATCGGGACACGGGAAATGGTGTTCATGTGATGAAATGTTGGTGGCAGAGCAAGGAAGGTGCTTGCGTCGAACTCGACACGGAACAAATTTCTGAGCATCGGCGATGCCCTCAACAGACTGGTGTAATTTCTCCCAACAAATAATTATGCTAGCTAGATTGGTGTGTTTGCGTGTTTTTGCTCTATAAACTGTCATAAACCCACAGCATGAGTACCACTGAAGGGAATGATATGGGTGCCGAGTGACTGGCAGCGCAGCCCACTGGAGAGTTGTTTGGGCACTTGAGCCCGTCGTAGTCAATGGCCTTGAGCCCGGCTACGGCTACGGGTCGGCTACGGCTACGGAATCCCTTTTCTAATTTGAATATATAAACTTGAACGAACAGGCAGGTGGACAAGTGCAAATAGGCAAACTTATGAATAACCTCGAACTTATAAACCAGAACCTTCCCAGTGACAGTGACCTTATGACTTATGAGATCCGAGAATGAGGTCACTTACCAATCCTGAAGAGGCCACTGGGAAGATCCTGGTCGTTAAGTGCATTTAGACAAACGGGACTGAACACGTTAGTCACTGAGCTCTTTTGACAGAACCCCACAGAAACAAAGCATCAACAAAACCCAAAACCCGCGAAACCGCCAACGGTGATCAACTTGTTTGATTTTCAAGCCTCGCCTTGTACAGGAAGACCACTGCTTGCCCCAAATAGGCGGCGCCCTGCGCAGGTTGGCTTGGTCAGGGTCTAGCGTTTCCTCACCAACTCTTCCAACTGCCCTCCAAGGTCCTCCTCACCAAACCCCGCCTGAACCACGTCGATCACGCACTCGGTGCGGATCCATGGCAGTTCCTCCGGCTGGGACTCGTAGAACAAGTCGTTCAAGTTGCGCAGGGGCTGCTTCAGCTCAAGGGCTTAGTGGGCAACTGCTGCGAAAAACTGAACCAAAAACCAGTCACCATCCAGCACAGGCATTGCTTACAGTATTGGTCGCTGCCTTCAACATTCTTTGCATCTTACAGTAAATGGTGGGATAATTTTGTTTGAAGCACTACTCTTCTTTCTTTGCCCACCAATCCTTCGAAGCCGTTCTGACATCCTTCCCGATCGATGGACGTCGTACAAGTTGCCACATCGTTTGCATCATTCGTGCCACATAGTTTCGTGACCGCAGCGTATAGTGACTATATGTTTGCCAACTGAAGTAAAGGAAGTTCCTTTTCGAGTGACCTAAAGACCATTCATTTAATAGTCTTTGACTCCCAGAGTATATAGATAATGTTAAATACATAGCTTCACAAACATTGCGTTTGGACAAAATGGTTGTCTCATGTTTTTGTCCTAGCTCTATGCTGCGACCGAGCTTCTCTTGGCGTGCTCGATGACCTTGTCGATCCCAGGGATTTCCTCCCAATCGTTGATGGTCTGCATCACACTGGATGTCCTCAAGCGCCGGGACATAGAATTGAAAAAGTTGTGGTGATGCGCTAAAGCTTATTGTCCAGACGTTGTTGGCCTCACATGGAGGGACATAGAATCGATAAGAGTGGTGTGGTGATTGGACACAAGTCTTTTTCAATAAGGTGGGTTCTACTTCATCCCACTCGCTACTGGGCACGAGCTCTTGATAAGGCCTCAAGTAGGCCTACTGGTCTCAAATGCATCTTCCAATCGCACGCTAAGATGGAGGCCATGCAGGTTCTTCTGCGGGCATGGTCTTGTATGCGAACGCTGCGCAGCCCACCTGATGGCCGGGTGTGACATCCTGCCACACCCGATCAAACTTGAGCACACATATTATCAAAATGAACAGCGAGCTGGGATAACCAGGATCACATAGAGCAACCTGCTTTAGCAGTTTTCAATCGTTTTCCTTGAGGAACACTCAGACTAAGATTGCTGTAGCACTCCGTAGCGCCGCTTGCTTTCGCGTGTGCACCCTGAGGCTCATCTGCCTCATCTGCAATTCTTCCCTTTAAGTCTGTAGAATCTCCTTTGTCACTCTGCGGCCAAAGCCACCAGTGCCAGCACGACTACAGAGCCCATGGCTTTCCAGCGCCAGCTTCCAGGGGTGGCAGGCGCCTGCCAGGATATCCAAATAAAATCAAGATTCAGAAGATTCCTCAAGAAAATCTTCACGTTACTTGGGTCCTTTGCCTGTATATAAATCTTTTGGAGGTCAAGTCTCAGTCTTCTTCAAGTCGCAGCTCTGCTCTTCTGAGCATCCACGAGTCGCAAATACTATATACGTTCTTTCTGGTCTCTTGAGACCTTCAGGCTGACGATTTGGGGGAAAGGAGTCGAATAAAGTGGACACATCCTTTTTCTTCATTTTCAAACCGCACCTCTGGCACTTCCACCAACAACTCTTGAGCTTCTTCCATGGGAACGGCTGAATGAGTGCTAGACATCGTGATCTGAGAAGACGAGATCGGGAACAGTTCAGCCGTCTGTGAGCAGAGGTGCTGCAGAAAGAATCCACTCAGGTTTCAAACAACCAAAAATCGGCAGCGAAAAGCACTTGGTCTTGAAATTTGATGGAATTTGAAGAAGGGGCTTCAAAATTGGAAGGACTGATTGAGCTTCAAAAATGCTGACCGTGAAGTTTCCTTCGTAAAACCTCCTGAAACAGTCAGTTGTCTTTCTGAAAACCGCACACAGTGGGGTTAGGGGTTGTGCGACGTGTTTTGATGCACGAAGTTACGGATCCAGCAGGGACAATTCCAAATCATTGGAAGTCCTGCGTCATCTGACAAGCAAAGGGCTTAGCGACCAAGTCACAATTCGTCACTCGGTACAAAGGGGCTCAGGCCTTTCGCAACCTGATCTAGGTCGGCCCGAAAGTTGATCTGGCAGATAGGATCCCAGAACGCCACAGGCGTTTTTTCTTGGACCCTCAAACTCTTCCCATCATCCGCAGTATCTCAGTTTCTGGGATCCTCTTTGGAAAAAAGTCTGCCGGTGCAACTCCATTGCTTTCCAGTTCGCCGCAGTGGGCGATGCAGATCAGATTGAGTTGGATCAAAATTCTGGACGGTACGCGCGGCCTCCTGACGGCGTTGCCCTCAGCACCTCCGAAGATCTATATACATATATACCCAATCCTTAACCCCTTGGACCTTGGAGAACCCCTTTCCCTGCATCCCAAAACAAACTAACTACTTCACTTCGAGTGATCCCCACACCTGCCCAGAACTGACTTCAAAGCATTGGCACGCAGTCCGACATGTGTTCTATCAACTTGTGTATGTCTGTCTGTGTTCTGTCGCCTTCCGTCTGACATATCTTCTGGCATGTACTTCTGACATGTGCTGTGCTCTCGCATCAAGACCTGGCATTATGTATATCCTGAAATGTGTTGCAAAATGTGGTCGACTTCGGTTCTGATATGTGTTCCGAGGTTTGTTTTGTCATAGGTTCTGACATGTGTTCTGGCATCAAACCTTCCATCATTTGCGATGCTCTGGCACGCTCTCTCTGTGATGTATTCTGACATCCGTTCTAACAGTAGCATCTCTTCGTGCTCACTCTGCCCAAACCCGCAAGGCACTCCACCGCGCTCCACTCTGTCAGAAGGCGGAGAAGGGAGGAAGGACGGGGCACAGTCGCTGACACACAATCTAGCGACCCTTGACCTGACAAATGAGGAAAACAACCACCCCATGGTGGTTTGTGACTTGGTACAACATAATAAGGATAATTCTACCAAACACACCCAAAAAAAGCTTTAAAAAACCGCTGTTCTTCCGATGTCGTTTGACTCTTCGATTCAATGCACGTTGTGTGACTCTTCGATGCGGTTGCCTGCGTCCCTGCCTGTGATGGAGCACCAGTGTGGCAACCGCGGCACCGATGTCTCTCCTTGGCTCCTCTGTCTTAGTCCATTGGAAGATGCTTCTCCTCCTCCACAGGGTCCGGCATATCAGCACAATCCTCGGATCAACTGGATTGCTTCTCTTCTGCATTTTGGCTTCTATTCTGATCTGATGATTTCATGCATGGATCTTGAGTATGTCCCCTTCCCTGCAACCGTGGATGATGATGGTGAGCAAAGACCTTTCTCAAGAAATAGCGCCTGTGCTGAGAGACGTTACACGTTTACTGAGACACCTTTTCTTTGATTGATAGATCATGGTTGTACATCGACCTGAAGGTCGACCCTGAAGTGTCCGAGGACCTTGCACCTGCGGTGATGAGCGGGCTGGAACGATGCGGACTTCGCAGAAGCCAAGCTGCAGAGGTAGTGGCGATGCCGGCCGCTGGGCCGTTGGTGACCGCCGCCACCATGTCCTCAGCAAGTACGAGTACGGTGCCAAGAACCAAAACACTGAGATGGGTGGGGTTCAAGGCTGGCACAACTTCCTCGACGCTGTCATCCATCAATTAAGTCGTCATTGTGAGCTAAATGATCTTAATGACAGTTAAAAATACAAACGATCTACAATGAGCTTAATGATCTAATCTAATTAACTCGTCATTCGCCGTCAACGACTCCTCTCCATCTTCCAGTAAACGGGCTCTCCCGGATCAGCTGAGGAGCAGAGATATCGGCAGCGCAGAGTGCCTTCTGGCTTCCTCAGGCAGTCTGAGCTGATCACAATCTATCTTGGGAAATGAAACGGAAAGTGAAAGCTCGGGTGTGGGAAATATAGAATCAGTGATGATACCATATTGGATTGCTTTGGATATCGCTGTCACCCTTCCCCTCAGAAACTCAACATCATGACAGAAACTATTCTATACTATGTTATATTTCGACCATATTATATGCAGCTGGGGCACAGCCCAGCAAAAAACAGGGAATTGAGCACAGGGAAAAGAAAGACCTAAACATGCCAAAGCATGGAACCGTGTGGTCAACGGTAATCGCAGTGAGTCTTCTCTCTCTCTCTCTCCCTCCCTCCCTCCCTCTTGTAAAATTCAGCAGCTGTTTTGTTTGTTGTTTGTTTGTGCACGTCTCTGTATTGTTTTCCCTCTGGCAATTGTCCTTAGGCTCAAGCTAAGCTCAAGGCCTTTGATCCAAGGTGCATTGTATAGCACCATGCAATTGTACATCAACACTACGATGGAGTAAGTAAGCTATTGTGAAAAAGCTTGTCTCTTAACACCGTCCCTTGGTTTGATTCATTGTTGAATCACGCCATCACCATAAACATTGTTGAAACAGTAAAAAAAAATTATTGTACAAAGCAGTTCAAACATTGTTAGCAAGTCTGTACAGTTTTTCTGCCATTGTCTCTCCAGCATTGTTGCCCTTCTCATCGTGGTGCTCGTGGGCATTGTTGCCAGAGACTTGCAGTTTGTAGAGCCATTGTTCTACTCTTGCGACTCTTCCATCTGGTCGCTGGTCGATTCTCGAGGGCGTTTTGTGCCCTTTCTCCTCTTCTTCATCTTCTGACCTTTCCATATTGTCCTCATTGTATAGGACTGCTCGGTCCTCCCACAAGGAGATTGTCGAGTTTGTGGGAAGTCGACGCTGATTGTGGTAGTCTGGAATCGTCATCTCCATGGCCATTGTTGCCCTTGAAATTGTTCTCGAGAAAGTCGATCCCGATCGTCAGCGCTCGTGTGCCGGGAAGCGGCTGCGGTCAAAAGGATTGTTGACAAATTGTCAACTGAACACGCATTGTCTTCCAAATTCAGAAAGCAAAACTTGAAAGATTGGATCCATTGTGAGACTGAAATCTTGTAGTACATACTGTCTATGACATAGTATGCGCATAGTAGCTAAAGTAGTGTGCCATGGCTTGATGCCGCCGTGTATGTTTGTACACGCGTGGATGCTGCCATGGTTGTGAAACTGTTTGTGCGATCGCAGTTCAGTTGTGGTGTTGCGTGCATTGAATGCCCGCCATGTAGAGGTGTTTGTTAAGCACCTCTGCCGGGACATACTTTGTCAGTATGTCTGCTGGGTTGTCGTGTGCGCTGATCTTGTGTATTGACAGTACCCCGCTTTGTACCAGTTGTTGTATGAAGAGGTACTTCAGGTCAATGTGCTTTGCTTTCTTTGACGAGCCAATTCTTGTTGCAATGCTTTTGCCGCTTGCGCTGTCTGTGTGTACGCGAATGTTCACCTTTGTTGTTGTGGCTTCCTTGATGACGTTTGCTATATGTAGTCTTTCTTGTGCTCCTGTTCCTATTGCATATAGTTCTGACTCTGCTGATGATAATGCTACTACTGCTTGTGTTCTGCTTCCAAATTGTACTACTGATCCCATCATTGTCACGATGAGTCCACTTGTGGATTTCCTTGTGCTTGGGCATCCTGCCCAATCCGCATCGACATAAATGTTGAGGTCGATGGGTTCCTTTGTTTGTGGTGTGTGTGTTGTCCTCAGGATCATCTTGTAGTGTTGTGTTCCCCTGAGGTATCGTAGGAGGTGCTTCACCTTGCGAAGGCTTTGCTGTGTTGGTTGTTGTAGATCTCGTGCTAGTTCTTTTGTTGCAAAGCTGATGTCTGGTCTTGTGTAGGTCAGCCATTGTAGCTTTCCTACTGCTCTCCTATAGTCTGCATGTTCTTGTGCATCTAGAGGTGCATCATCGTTTGTGGTTTGTTTCAGGGCTGCCGTCCCTGGAGTTGATGCTGGATTGCTTGCTTCCATCTTTGTTTCCTTCAGCAATGTGGTGATGTATTCTGGTTTGAGGCTCACCTCAAGGAACTCTCCATTTTGCGGATGTCTCTGCCAAGGAATTGGATTGTCTGACCAATTCCCAATGCGCCGGTTGGTCGTAGTAGTACATGCTTTTGTACTTCCTTGAAAGTCTTGTCGACTTCTTGTTGTTGTCCTAGGAATAGTAAGTCATCCACATACACCATCACAAACATTGTCTGTTCATTGTTCCTGTACACGTTGGGTTCACTTGTGAGTCGAGACAGTCCCAATTGTTGTAGGACTTGTGCAAAGTGATCTTGCCAGGATTTTGGACTTGATCGTAGTCCATATTGCTTTGTTGAGCTTCCACACTGTGGTTGTGTTGTGACCACTTGGGTATAGTTCTGGTGGTGGCCACATGCAAAGATTGTCTGTCGCTGCTGGCGCATGCAGGAATGCTGTTGACACGTCTCCTGCTTGTATCGTCCAGTGGTTGTGCTGCGCCATTGTCAGTAGGACGCGCAAGATCCCAAAGATCGGTGTGCTCACATAGATGTTGTCAAGGTCTTGGATTGTTTCCAGGAAACCTTTTGCTACTATGCGACATCGCACTTCATCTTGTTTGGGTTTGTTGACCCACTTGGATTCTATGATCTTGTTCTTGTGTTCTTCTGGGACATCATCGTAGTTCATCTCTGTGAACACTCCTTGTGTCTTCATCGATTGCGCTTCTTTCTTCATTCCTTGTTGTACTTTCAATGGATCAAGACCTTCATTGTCGTAGACGAAGGGTTCTTGTAGCATCCTTTCCACTTCTGCTTCTTGTTCATCTTCACAGGATGCTGTGGTGATCTTGTCACCTCTCTTTGCGGTAATCGTCACTGCTTGTATTCTCATCTTTGCTCTTGGTTGTTCTTCCTCTTGTCCTCGGTTTGCTGCCGTTGAGGACTGCGCTGTCCTTGATTGTTTGGATTGCGCTTCACCTGTAGGCTCCTCGTGTTGTCGCTTGCTTGCTGGTGGTAATCGTTGGTGAAGTTGCCAATGGTGATGTTGCCATTGTCGTATCCACTGGCTGATGATGCATTGCTTGTGCTGGTAGTGCCAGTGGTGTCTCTTGTACTGTCTGTGTGCTTGTATCTTCCACTGTAATGTCAGCTTGTGCGCCGATCGCTTGTCTGCTTGTGGTGTTGTCAGCTGGTGGAAGCAATTGTGGCGGACTTGCCAAGCAATTGTGGCGGACTTGCCATTGGTGTTGTTGGCAAGTTCCATGGATACACGTTGATGGTATCCAGTAGTTGCTTTCGTACTTGTCTGGCATGATCTGTCTTCGTATTGTTCTTGCTTTGATAACCTTGCCAGGGATGCCGACTATTGATTCTCCAGTCATTGTATCCCTGCCAAGCCAGATTCCTTTGAAGAATCTTGGCTCCATCTTGGGTTGTGCTTTTGTTGTTGGTATCATGTATCAGTGGTGCTTTGCGGTCCTTCTGCCATCGTCTTTGGTAACTTGTTCGTCCGTCATTGTGCATGGCATACCTGTTCAGTAGCCAGGCTGCACGCCGTACAATCCACGGCATGACCGGATGTTGTACGCTCAATGTCAGGTTGTAGCTTGTGGTCACTTGTTGTACCAGTGCTCGGACTTGTCCCATCAAGGCGCGATGGAATCGTTCAATGCTTCCTTGCGATTGCGACGAGTATGCCGGTGATTGTCGGATGTTGACGTTATTTCCGAGCTTTTGTGCGACAGTCTTCAGTAAGTTCTGTATGTATTCTTCTTGGTCTGATTGTAGGGTTGTAGTGGGGATAGCGTTGCTTGTGCTCGTCCACATTCAAACACGAATGTTTGTAGACATCGTGTCAGGTATTGTTGTTGTTGGTTCTTGTCTTGTACAAGAACTGCCATTGCCATACCTGATTTGACATCTATTGCTGTGAGTACTGGTAGTACTTGTTTGTCTCCAAATGCTTTCATGTAGGTGAAGTCCACTTGTATCACTGGTTGTTTGCTTGCTTGTTTTGGGCGATTGTCTGTTCTTCCTTTGCTCTTGACACATATTGGGCACCATGAGCGGTATGGTAGATGCGTCAGCTCATGTTCTAGTCTTTCTTGTCTTGTTGGTTGTTGTGGCGCCTTCATCCCTTTGGCGCGTTGCGCTTGCTGAGATTCATCTTCATTGTCCGTGTCGTACTCGTACTTGTACGTCGCTTCTTCCTCGAAGTTTGTTGATCCTGTCCATTGTCTGTCAAGCTGTCTTGCTCCTGATTCCTGCCAATTGTCATGGATTGTGTATCCTCTTCCTTGTTCCGTTCTGTTCACGAATGTTGTCCGTGTAGGTTTGAGTCGTCCAATGTCTGGACCATCGTCTGTTTGTTGTGGTACGTACATTGTCGTCCGTACCTGTATGTGAACTCGTTTCCAATAGTGTCCTTCTCTGATCCAATAGTCTGTTGTTGGTGTCATTGTGGATGGATCAGGTACTGCCGTGGTTGTTGGCGCTGGCTTCTTCGTTGTGTGTCTGTATAGTGGGTCTCTGCTGACCTGCCGCGCTGTCCCGTCTTGTTCCGGGAGTTGTATTGCTGTTGATCGTTGTCGCACTTGTGGTGCCTGTTGCGCTTTCTCTGTTTTCTCTGTTGTCTTCGATGTTGTTGTCACTGGTTGTGCTGGTGGCTTGTTCACTCTAAACCATGTCTCTCCTGCCCATGTGTCTCAATGTATCACTCTTCGTTGTTCGTGCTTGCTCAAGTCATGGTATTGTTCAACAATGTCTTCGTTGTTCCCGTCTGTTCGTCGAATGATTGTTCGTCTGTAGTTGCTCAATGTCTCCAGTGGTATTGGGCAATTGTCGCCAGGAACAAAGAGAGCTTTCCTCTTGTTCCGGTGATACCGTACAAGGTATCCTTCATTGTTGTAGTTCCAGTAGTCGCTATTGCCTCCAAGGACTTGTTGTGGTCCATGTCTTGTCAGTGTTGTTGGGGCAATCATTGCAATCATGCCCTTTTGTGTAGGTCTCAGCTGTAGTTGTTGATGTTGTCCCAGGTTCATGACTGTTGCTGGCAAGTAGTAGAGGTTGTGCTGCTGCACCAAGGGAACATCGAATCCCTTGTCACGGCGCATTGTTGGAGTGTCGTTGAACCTGATGTCAAAGCCTTGTTCTGCCAGTCTTGTCACTGACAGGATTGGATCATGGATGTCACACACATGGAATGGTATGACAATTGGTTGTCCTCTTGATTGCATGTAGACCCATCTTACTCCATAACATTGTATTGTCTTGTTCGTCACTGTCCTGAGGTTTGGGCTCTGTGCTTGGTCAATCTTGTACACTGGATAGTTGTCTGCAAACCATAGTGGACAGACATGCGTGGCTGCTCCACTGTCGATCGTGTCTGTTGCGCCGCTGCTTGTGGTGTCTGTCTTGTAGTCATTGCCATTGCTGATCATGGCGATGACATGGATTGGTGTCATGTCATGGTTGCCGGTGGATGGAATTGGTGGTAGTGCCAATGGTTGTTGTCCTTGTTGTTGCCGTGTGTAGTCCTGAAAGTGCCATCCATTGTCATAGTAGTCGTCGTACCATTGTGCTGTCGCATCTTCAAGGTCATTGCTTTCTCCTTGTCCAATGTTGTGTATTGCCACTCGGCAATCTTTGGCATAGTGTCCTGTTCTTCCACATCTGTAGCATGTATCTGTTGCTTGTTTTCCTTTGTTCTTTCCCTTGCCTTTGTTGTATCCTTTGCTGAATCCTTTGTTTCCTTTGTTGCCTCTTCCGAATGGATTGCCAAAGCCGATCGGACTGTTGCTGTAGTTGTTGAATCCTTTCCCTCCATACTTTCTTTTTCCTTTGCGGTTGATGTTGTAGCTGTTGTAGCCGTAGCCGTTGTATCCTCCCTAGCCTTTGCCTTTGTTCTTTCCTGTTCCTTTCCCTTTCCTTTGTAACTGTTGTACTTCCCTTTTCCTTTGTGGATTGCATCAATGTCCATAGGTGCTTGTCCTCCACCAAAGCTTGTTGCTACACTGGATGACTGTGATCGTAGTTGTTGTAGTTTGCTGAATGCTGTTGTTGATCTGTAGTACTCGATGATTGTTTGTTTGACTCGTGCATAGTTTGGGCTTTGTCCTGAAAGCAGTTGTAGGCGTTGTTGTAGTGGTCCGCTTGTCTCGTTGAGCAATACGGCAATCTTCACGGAGTCTGGGAGTGTTTGTCCATTGTCTCGCTCGAATCTTTGTAGCTCAAATTCCCATGTGGAAAATGATTCTTCAAAGTTGTTCTTGTCAAATGTTGGTTTCAACAATCTTGTCAAGTGTCCTATGGATCTTGTCCCCAATGGGATGGAGAAGCGGATGCACAGTTGTCGGTACATCTCGAAGCCAATTGTGTGTTGGTATTGTCTGCATACTGTAGCTGCTGCTCCAGTTGGTGTGTTGATGAGGATGTGCCTCAAATCAGTGCTGAGGCGAACATGTCGTTCACCGTCTTCGATTGTTGATGCCGCTGCTCGTAATTGTAGCTCTGTGAGTTCTGCTGTGCCTCGTTCTGCTGCTTGTAGTAGTTCTGTGTAATCATTGTCTTGCAATCCCATGTATGCAGTGAACTTGTACTTCCATTCCTCGAACGTGCCATAGTCTCCATTGAAGAAAGGTGGTTTGAGTTTGTATCCATGTTTGCCATGTTTGTGATTGTCTCGTCTTCTGGAACTGGAGGTAGGCCATCTCCAGCTTGAGCTGCTGCTGGTTGTGCTGCCATTGTTGCAGCTGTGCAAGCTACCTGTTGTAGGGTCAAGGCTTGCTCTTCGTTGTCTGTGTTTGTGTGTTTGTTCCTGTTGTTGTATTGGAGCTCACCTGGATTGTTGTTACCAGGATCCTTGCTCCGCTACCATGTAAAATTCAGCAGCTGTTTTGTTTATTGTTTGTTTGCGCACGTCTCTGTATTGTTTTCCCTCTGGCAATTGTCCTTAGGCTCAAGCTAAGCTCAAGGCCTTTGATCCAAGGTGCATTGTATAGCACCATGCAATTGTACATCAACACTACGATGGAGTAAGTAAGCTATTGTGAAAAAGCTTGTCTCTTAACACCTCTCTCCCTCCCCCTCTCTCTCTCTCTCTTTCTCTCTCTCTCTCTCTCTCTCTCTTTCTCTCTCTCTCTCTCTCTCGCTCTTGCTCTCCTCTTTTTGAACATCGAAGTTCGACCTGGTATCAGCCTTTCAACAACACGTCTAAAGTTCAAAAACACGGTTCCAACCTAGTAGCAATGGCCTCCAACCTAAATGGCCTCCACACGAATTTGAGGCCCAGCCTTTCAAAAATCTGCCAGGTGTCCCTTGGTCCAGCAGTCCGACACGGCCAATGCCCTTAGCTTGCGTTAGCTGGCGTGCTGCTCGAAACACGACCCGTTGCTACTGCCCACGATTAAACGTCCCCACAGCCTTTCTCAGAAATCTTTCTCTGTTTGTGTGAAGGTCTAAGCTGTATCTTGGGACTCACCCATTCATTTGGATCAGGGTTCAACTACGGACAGTTTCAGGACGGCGAACCTGCAAGATCTCGCAGCCACAGGGCACTCGGTGTGTCCGTCACACGGCTTTTCGGGTGCTGTGAACCTGGTGAGTTCGGTGAGTTCCGAATGAGTTCGATGGCAACCTCCTGAACCATAGACCTGACCCTCTTCGTGGCCAATCTTCGCCACGCTGCGTAAATTGGGAGATCCACGCGAAGGAGCTGATAATGTTCATGATGTTGATCGCGCAGGCCCTTAAGATTGCAAAGTTGAACCAGCAAAGTGCTTTCGGAGAAAGAGAGACAAGTCACAGAGAATGGATACCATTTGGGTATCTACTGGGTACACCATGGGTACGATTTGGGTACCGTGCTTTCACGATGGCAAGCAACAACGATGCCTTAATTCATGGAGAAGAGGCAAGGCAAACAAAAATCAGAGCTTCAGAGTCACTTCACTCAGCAAGCCGTCACCTTCCATCAGCTGTTGCTCCTAGGGCCCCGTCTTTGGCTCGGGGCAGGCGCTGGCCGCAGAGCGGATCTGCAAGATGACACGCACAATGTAGGAGGCCTCAACATCAGATGACCATCCGTCCGTGAAAATGCACAACCTTACACTGCCTCCCGCGCGTGCGCGCGCGATCTCTCTCTCTCTCTCTGTCTCTATATCTCTCTCTCTCTCTCTCCATCAATTATATATGGAAGTGGACACTAAACCCTCAGAAAAGGTGCTTTTCCTCTATTTCCCTGGGCGGTCATCAAATTCCATCTTTCTTGGATCGGTCGCTGCGCACATCGAACCCAGGCACCAGATCATCTGTGAACCCTTCGGGCCGGTCGTTCCTAAGGTTCGAAGTAAGGTTTCAAGCGAATTCAGGCGTCATTCCATGAGTTGAGGTGGTCGTGGACGTCCATTTTTCGCTGGAATTCGCGGTCGTCTTGAGACGCGCAGTGAAAAAACTCATCCTATGACTGTCCAGTTCGACTCATCCTTTCATCAGAACAAGAAGTATTTCAGAAAGCCGCCCTTGACCAAAAGGCCTAAGACCTAACGACATCTAAAGACCCTTTTCAGATTGGTTTTGGGCTCCCAGGTAATCCATCGACATTTTTTGACTCGGGCGGACTGGATCCCAAAGCACGGATTGAGCCCGAAATCGATTGGTCCTCGCTTTGGGAAGAACATGCTGGACGACTATCTCATGCTTGACAGCCATCCAAGACCTGCTTCTCGGCTCGCAGCTCGCAGGACATCCTCTTCTCTCTAAACCCCCCGTCTCGGCCAACTCCTCACTGGTTGACGGCTGTCTGGGTCTTCCAACCGCGTTCGTCACGTCCGCCATGACGCACTGCGTGAGGTCGAAGTTGCGGTTGCGCTTTGACTCGGTGCTTGAAGAATGCACAGCTGACAGATGCTGACAGGATTCGAACCCCCACAGCCGACAGATGCTGTTGGATAGCAATGGTGCAAACCCCGGTGCTGGGAGTTGATGTTCGGATGCTACACAAAATGAGAAGGGACTCTGGGTGTTTGGAATACATGGAATACAGCAGCAGTAGACTTCCAACTTGCATTCTACTCTTGCTAGTCTCCTAAAACAACACTTGTTCTTCTTGAGCATTGCGTGGCACTTATCCACCATGCTCATCCACTTCCACCCGCACAGATGCATGATCCTCAGGGCTTCCGGACCGTACGGAGCGCGTCCACCTTGGCGATGGTCTCCACGGTGGGTGCGGCGCCAGCAGGGACGAAGGCTTGCCAGTTGGGTGGCAGGGGGTTGGCGTCGGTCACGTGAAGCAGGGCGATCCAGTCCTGGTTGATAGGGCCTAGCGCAGGCGCACACTACATCGACCCAACCAGCCCATCGAATGCGACAGGAAGACTTCGACTTGTAAAGGGACTACCGACAGGACACAAACAACACCCTTAGCACGACTACGCTCTTGTTCAGGGATAGCCCAGCCGTCCTTGTTGAAGTCGCAGTCCTCCTTGACAGCTGCACCAACCTTGGCTGCAACAGCTGCATGACACAGACCGAGAAATGAATTGTTCGAAACACATGGCAGTAACACATGGCTCAATTTGAAAGGCTGAGGGGAGCTTCTGCACGAACAAAATCTGCTAGCTGGTGTCTCCCGTCACTTGAGCTCTGCAAAATACGACATGCTTGAGGGAAAAGCAAACAAATCCTAACAGTTGGAGGACTCACAGCTTGGCTGTCTCACTTCCACATGTCTCATCATCTCTCCTTCCATCAGGAGTCTTGCATGCCTTTCACTTTTCTAAACTGCAGAATGCAAAAAATGCATATAGAATATCAACAAAAAATGCTGTCCAGAGTTGACACCAAGCTGCAGTCGCCATCTCGCCAAAGTTCGCCATCAGGGCCGTCCAGTCTCCCGCGCAGAGGGCACCAGAGTTGACGGCGGCGCCACAGGCGTTGGCGGCGAAGGAGAGGTAAGAGGCGATCCAGGTGATGGAGGTGATGAAACCCGCCACACCTTGAGGTGGCTTAGTCAGAAAGAATAGGTAAATATTCACCAAAAAGGTCAGGTCAGGTAGCTCAGCTTTGCATTTCATTTGACGAAAAGTTGGGTGGCAAGGAAATACAAGGAAGGAGCACTGGGTGCATGTCGTTCGCTGATTTCTGTAAATCGGCCATACCCTCAACAACTATGACTAATTATATAATAACAATCTGGCGGAATTTCTCTCAACAAATAATTATGCTAGCTAGATTGGTGTGTTTGCATGTTTTTGCTATATAAACTGTCATACACCCAGTACCACTGAAAGGAATGATACGGGTGCCGAGTGACTGGCAGCGCAGCCCACTGGAGAGTTGTTTGGGCACTTGAGCCCGTCGTAGTCAATGGCCTTGTTCGAGGCTTCCGAATCCCTTGTTTAATTTGAATATATAAACTTGGTGGACAAGTGCAAATAGGCAAACAAGACTGAACACGCTCGTCATGTTCACCGCGAGGCCGCGGAAATTATGAACAGGCCCACAGGAAACAAAAAAAACATAGAAAGCTGTGAGGCTTTGCCAAGCTTGTTCAACTTGTTTGATTTTCAAGCCTCACCTTGTACAAGAAGACCACTGCCTGTCCCAAGTAGGCGGCGCCCTGCACAGGTTGGCTCAGAACAGGTTCCAGCTAGCCAATGCTAGAAGCCTCCGAAGCCAAGAGCCTCCCTCTCCCCAAAACATGCTCTCAACTTGCGCACCTGAACCACGTCGATCACACACTCGGTGCGAATCCATGGCAGTTCCTCCGGTTGGGACTCATAGAACAAGTCGTTCAAGTTGCGCAGGGGCTGCTTCAGCTCGAGGGCTTAGTGGGCAACTGCTGCGAAAAACTGAACCAAAAACCAGTCACCATCCAGCACGGGCGGGCATCGCTTACAGTATTGGTCGCTGCCTTCAACATTCTTTGCATCTTACAGTAAATGGTGGGATAATTTTGGTTTGAAGCACTACTCTTCTTTCTTTGCCCACCAATCCCTCGGAGCCGTTCTGACATCCTTCCCGATCGATGGACGTCGTACAAGTTGCCACATCATTTGCATCATTCGTGCCACATACTTTCCTAACCACACACAGCATATAATGTTAAATACATAGTTTCACAAACATTGCGTTTGGACAAAATGGTGTTCTCATGTTTTTTGTCCTAGCTCTATGCTGCGACCGAGCTTCTCTTGGCGTGCTCGATGACCTTGTCGATCCCAGGGATTTCCTCCCAATCGTTGATGGTCTGCATCACACTGGATGTCCTCAAGCGCCGGGACATAGAATCGCCAAAAAAATGATTGTGAATTTAAATATATATATATATAAATTACCGGCGTGGGGGGTTCTACTTCATCCCACTCGCTACTGGGCACAAGCTCTTGATAAGGCCTCAAATAGGCCTACTGGTCTCAAATGCATCTTCCAATCGCACGCTAAGATGGAGGCCACGCAGGCTCTTCTGCAGGCATGGTCTTGTATGCGAACGCTGCGCAGCCCACCTGATGGCCGAGCGTGACATCCTGCCACACCCGATAAAACTTGAGCACACATATTATCAAGATGAACAGCGAGCTGTGGGATAACCAGGATCACATAGAGCAACCTGCTTTAGCAGTTTTCAATCGTTTTCCTTGAGGAACGCTAAGATTGCTGTAGCACTCTGTAGCACTGTTTGCTTGTGTTTATCTGCACCCTGAGGTTCATCTGTAGATCCTGGTGTTTTTCCCAGTAAGTACCCCGGGGGCCTCCGAAGTGGTTCGGGTTCGGGTTCGGGTTCGGCTTCGATGACGGCGCGGTGTCCAGGGGCAGAGTTCGCGTTCGTTGTCTGTGTGCGTGATGGGTCGGTCCCGGTGCAGGGTTGGGATTCGGTCGTGGATGGCGCAGTGCTTTGCGTGCACGTTCGAGCGCACTGCGCGGAGATGCGATGTCCAGCGCGGGTGTGGGCCTCAAGGGTGTAGACCACGGGGTGGAGGTTGGAATACGATATATCGCGTTTATCTGCGTAGCGGCTTGTATGTACATGTGGCACAAGACGCTGTGTAAGCTGTGAGACCATTGCGCAACAGTGGTTCTGCAGACCTCTTGTCGTTCAGGGTATGGGAGTCGGGGAGAGGGGGAGAGTGCGACTGCGGCTTCGACTTCGGCATCGCAGAAAGGCGAGGGTGGGGCGGGGGGCGGTTCGACTTCGGGTTCGGGTTCGACTTGCGCAAGGTTGGACTTCGGGTTCGGGTTCGACTTCGGACTGGACGTCGGGCTTGAATGCGGAGTAGAAAGGAATGCTGCGGAATCTGAACGTGTTTTTTGGTCGGGGGGGCGGGGCGGAGGGAGGTTCGACTGTGGATGTGGCGTCGCGGTCGTGCGCGGACGGGACTGCGAGTTGGACGTCGGAATCGCAAGGACGCAGAGGAGTCTGCTCCTGTCTGTGTTGGGGGGGCGGTGGGGGCACGTTCGATTGCGGGTTGGACCTGAGACGGGACAGCAATGTCGAAGTCGGAATGCGGAGGAACCTGCGACAGACAGGCAGACAGATATACGTTGAGACATGTAGATATAGACTGTAATCCTTTCATATGTTCACACAAACATACGTTCAGACCGGGACACAGACAGACCTCCTACCGATGCACAGACAGACACAGAGGCAAGACACATAGATACAAGATGATACGAGCTCGGCCCTGCTTCTTCGAGCTTGTTTGCCGCGGGGGAGGCGCTGCGCCCTCCCCCTGCACCCCCTCCCGCTTTTTATGACCTATCATGCATGCATGTGGCCAAAGGCACACACCAAAGTATGCGGAAAGGTAAATGGCATACAGCTAGACAGAGCCACACAGAGCAGAGATGAAATGAGACCTGGGCAGTGTGGAAAAGTTTGGACTACGTGTGAAGAAATGTTCATGGAGGCTGTGTCCAATCTAAACATCTGGAAACCACGCGTCCACACGTTAGCTTGGAACTGCGTCTATCCGACCCAGAGACGGCAGTGGGCGCCGTGACTGCAGCCATGGTGGCAAGTCGCCTGCACACGCAAGCGCGCAAGTCTCATGCCCGGCACGGGAACCGACGACCTCCCAGTCAGCGCTCTTTTTTGTCTCACCTCTCGGATCGAGGCTTCTGCTGCAAAAAGGGAACGCGGGCTACAAAACACAAACCACAGCAATACAGAGTCACATGTCAGGGTCTTAGCCCGCCGAGGTTTTTGCCCAGCGCCGTCGAAGCGCCAGCCGCACCGCGTCTCCACAGCGCTGATGTCGCTCATGAGATGCACGGTGGAGCTGTTCGGGTTGATGACAACCTCATCCTCTGGCGACGCGGACGTGAGCTGCCGAGCGCAAGCTGCGTCAGGAGGGTTGGGCCCCGCTGCATCTGGGTTTCCTTCACAGGCAGCAGTTGGCTGACGTTTGCGTCGCTTGGCAGGCCCAGGAACGACGCAAGCGCCAGCAGCCACGTGTCCGGAGCTCAACGCCGGCTCAGTCTCGTCTGGAGTGCGGTTGCTTTGGGCCCGCAAGAATGTTTGCCAAGCTTGGTCACAGGTATGTCTGACGTTGTGATCATGGGCAAAAAGGAGCAAAAACATCTCCTGGTGTGTGAGGGGGCTGCATAAGAGAGGACGAGCTGCCAACAACCACGCGAAAGACTTGCTCGGCAGCTTGGGTATCAACGCCACACAGTTCAGGATGACGCGCTGGATCAACTCCAGGTACGAACCAAGGACTTGACGGCTGCCGGCATGCGGCGTGGTTTACCGGAGACGTAACCTATCAACGACCCACTTGGGACGGCCGAATTTCTCCCAGGCCGCACGCGCAGCCAGGGGCAACGCGCGCTCCCGCAACCGCTTTGCCACACTCCGAGCGGCCCCACAGGCATTGTCATAGATGACAAAAGCCAGTGTCGAGAAAAGCTGAAGCAATCTCTGGACCCGGAAAAGAACACTTGCGTCAAAGACTCGGAGGCATACATGGGACGGATGGCAATGATCTGCAGGCAGAGGGCCACGGCCACCAGGACGCGGCGGGATTTGCGAGAGACCCGTGTCTCAGAAATGCCCTTGCGGTCGTCTTTATGACCTGCAGAGATCCAAGACGCCGGCGCAACATGTAACGCAACGTGCACTAGACCAAAGTTAGACACGTGCACTATACCAAATTCAGACCAGCGATACAAGTCAATACACGTTTGCGTTGAAAGCTTGGTAGGTCCCATCGCCAGTGTGCATCGTACGCAAAGAAAAAACACGCATGCGTGACAAACCAGGACACGTTGAGCTGAGACCGGGACATGAATCTGCTTCCTCCGTCAGGGCGTCTCTGGGCCTCTAGCGAAGCAAGGTCAGCCCGTAGGCCCGCACATGGTTGAGCGGCACCTCTGCGGCTTCCCGCCAGATGTTGTCGACTTTGTACTGCAACATTCTTCGGGCGGAACATCAGCCCCCGCATGTTGGGAAAGTACCCCAGGCAGAGGTTGGGGCCCCACATCATACCAGATGCGCGGTCATTGCAAACGGGTGTTTGAATGGACCGCTTGCCGTCGATGACGCACGCACACACCTTGTCAGAGAGGGGACAAGCGTGCCTGAACGCGAGGGCTTCGAAGCTGCTGCGCAGCAGAAGCAACAACGGGCGGAAGTCTTCCGCATGGTGATGAGGCCGCAGGAACCACACGAAGGTGTGCAAGTCTGAGCCACCTGACGCTTCGAGCAAGCCCAAAGATGCGTGCACGAGGATGGCCACCAAGAGCTGTTGTATGAAATGCTCTCTTGCAGCAAACATGGTGCCGTGCATGGTGGTGGACCAGAAAGAAAAGAGAAAGGAACGCTGTGAGGGCCCGTGTTTTTCAATGTTTTTGCGTTTTTTAACTATATTTGGGCCTGTTACACAAAGGATATGAAGTCTGTAGTGAAACAGCTGGTCTTGCATTACATGTTCCAGCTTCTAAAACAAAAGACTTGATGCTAAGGCTGCTAAGAGTAGTGAAGCAGCTAAGTGGTATTTGGTGTTCTGGCGCCAACTTCAAACTAATGCGATAACCTATTAGTAGGCCATACAAATAATATTATGTAACCATTATCAACCATTTTCTGGCAGATATGACTCTTGCTGCTCCTGCAAGTAATATCCTAATCATTGCTTGGTTCACTTTCTCAATGTCACTAGCAATATCATCAGTATCAGTATCATACTCATCATTTTCAATGTATCTATCTTCAAATGTTGAAATTTCTACAGTTTGATTTTCTACAACTTGGTAAAATTCTTTAGGTAAATTAATATCCACATACTTGCTCGCTCTCCAGCCTCCAATCTTATTGATAAAAGCCACTCACTTGGGCTCTTTTGATCTTCAGCGCTGATGGTGAAAGCATCAAGCTTGACACACTATACTGTAATACCAGCATGCTTCAGTTTAAAGTATTTTTACTAAATTCAGCAAATGGCGCGGCGCTGCAAAAGAAGCTCTTTGATATACCTATACTGGTTTTAGTTGTTTGGGATCACGTGTTGCAAAAACAAATTGCTCAACAAACTATGTGGCTTTGCAAAAAAGACTCAGACCGATGAAATAGATTTGATCGATCGCTATGACATCAAATTCTGAATAATCAAATGGTTCCATCTAAACATCACCAAAACTTTGACCAAATATATTGTTATTTAGCGTTCTGGTAGCGTTCTGGCGCCAACTTCGAAGTAATGTGATAACCTATTTGTAGGCCATACAAATAATATTGCGTAACCATTATCAACCACTTTCTGGCAGATATGACTTTTGCTTGCTCCTGCAAGTAATATCCTAATCATTGTTTGGTTCACTTTTTGAATGTCGCGAACAATATCATCAGTATCAGTATCATACTCATCATTTTCAATGTATCTATCTTTAGATGTTGAAATTTCTACAGTTTGATTTTCTACAACTTGGTAAAATTCTTTAGGTAAACTAATATCTACATTTTCTTCCCTCTTCAGCCTTCAATCTTATTGATAAAAGCCACTCACTTGGGTTCTTTTGGTCTTCAGCGTTGATGGTGAAAGCATCAAGCTTGACACACTATACTGTAATACCAGCATGCTTCAGTTTAAAGTCAGTTGTATACATTTCAAAAATTGTGAAAATTAGTTTCAAGAAGAAAAAACTTGCTTTTATAACTCTGCTCTACTAGACTTGCCAGCCTTTGCCGAAGAATCCCAATCTGGAGGAGGGGGTCGACCCAAGTTGGTAGACCCTCCCTCTCAGCCTTTGCCAAAGGATACTAATCTGGAGGGGGAGGGTCGACCATTCGCTCAATCCTCCCTCCTACCCTTTTCAAACGCTCCTGATCTCTGGATCTAAAGGGTGGTTTCGACCCCAAAAGGATGTTTTTTTTGTTGGTCGACCCCCGCTCCCAGCCTTTGCCAAAGGATACCAATCTGGAGAGGGTCGACCATTCTGCCAATCCTCCCTCCTAGCCTTTTCCAGCAAATCTGGAGCGGGGTCGACCAAAAAAACATCTGTTTTT